ATGTATGTATGTATATATGCATGTAGTATGTGTGCATAGTTCCAAAATAGACACAAGATATACTATGTAGTATGATATAACCTACTACATAATATCCATAACATATATGTTCTAGTGCAGTTTCATAATTGTATATAGTAGAACATACTGTCATGTGAGAATACGTACATGTGTATATACACATGCGATGTCTGTGTGTGTGTATATATATATATATCCAAGACACAGACACACACACACACACATATATATATATACATACTCCTACATATATATATATGTAGACATTTGTTCCTACACTTTGTGTGTCTCTCGAACATGTACAATGTCACCTGGCGGGGCTCTTTATGCAAGCTCTCCGACTTTTTGCTTTCGGCTGGAGTGATGAAGCCTGGGTGTGGCAGCTCGTTGCTTGTATGCATGCCTCATGTATTCAATGGCTCTGTAGAATGTCCGGACCTGCTGTTCAGAGCTGCCAGCCCATCACTGTTTAATCGGGTGAAAGTCTGCCTATACTGCTCATGACGGCTCGCGGTTCCTTTGTGGCAGTGGACTAGAACAGCAAAGAATGCATGGTGCTAGGGGTTTTGATCTTATAGAGATATATGCAAGTGTAGGGTTGTTGGTTCTTTTGTGGTAATCCACATAGTATTAAGCACGGGCCTCCGAAAAGATAGCCGGCAAACCTTTGTGCTGGGTGGTTCCGGTCTGCTGCCGGTGCTACATTAGGGCAGCCTTGCCTCCCATGGTGGTGGCAGCGGCATTCGCTGGAGCTCCTTTGATGCTGCCTATATCATAGTCTAGATAGACTCGAACATACAAGCAAATGTACGGTGGGTTCTGTTGGGGGTCTTAATCGTGCGATACAGGTTTGGTGTTATTATCGATACCTGGGAAGTGCATACGAACTATATAGTTTTGTCGGGCAGCACGGAGCCGGCCATGTCTCACCCCGTGCAGGATGTACAGGGGCCAAGCACAGGGGATTTGGTTGTCGTGTTCGTGTTTAGTATTTGGTACAGGTGCTTCTAAGCTATGTCTAGATTGCATGTAGATATAGATAGGGGTGCTCGTGATGAAGTGCAAGCCCGGGTCCTGCCTCCAGCAGAAGCTATAGTCGATCAAGTACTTGTTCGGAGGAGTGGAGGAAACGGCAGAGTTCGTCTTCGCATGCATTAGCCCCGTGTGGTCTGTGCTGACTTAGCAGTGTTGTCATGGCCTCCCCAGCAAAGCTGCAAGCCAACCACAACCACACCCACCAGAACAAGCAGAACAGCCACAACAAGCACTAGCAGGATAACAACCAGAGCCACCAGGAGCACCGGAAGAAGCAGAACAAACACCACAACCGCCACCACAACAACAACCACAACAACAACAACACCAAGAGCAACAGCAACAGCAGCAGCAGCAGCAGCAGCAGGAGCAGCAGCAGCAGCAGCAGCAGCAGCAGCAACAGCACCAGCAGCAGCAACAGCAACAGCAACAGCAACAGCAACAACAACAGCAGCAAACAGGAACAACAGCAACAACAACAACAACAAGAACAACAACCCCGCCAGCACCGCAGTAACCACAACAAGCACGAGAAGCACAACAACCACAACAAGGAAGCCACCACCAGGAACACGAGAAACACCACAACGACCACAACCACAAGCACCACAACTTTCACAACAAGCTTTCCTGCAGGAGTGCTTTGCGACATGTGACACTTGTGCATGCAGTCTTGTGCGACATGTGACACTTGTGCATGCAGT